GTCTTGAGTCCTTGCGAGAGTTGGGCAAGCGTCTCGCGGATACCCTTTGGTTCGTCTTAGGGAGAAGTGGGGGCATCACATGTCCGGCCGAACAATAGGTGGGAAGATGTGCAACAAGCTCGTTAGGACAAGGCTCCCTGTCGCCATTTAAGTAAATACAATTAGTCTTAACAGTGATTACAAGCAGAGAGACATTTAAAGAAATAGTTTGGACCGGATAATGCCTCATCGACGTCCATCATGGTAAGCTGATCACGAAATACAGATACAATATGCGAGGGCACATACTTGATTGTACGACTCTCGGCCCACCGACCACCTCTCGGAAAATCAGCTTGTACTAGCATGGTACTACAGTATGAGGTGGTAGAGAGCAAAAGCTCTGACTCCACTTGGGGACCACCTTGGTCCCATTTTGAGGTTTGTTCAACATCGACATTATTCTAGTAATGTCGTAACTATGGTTACATTTCAACGTACATCTCACATGCCGTGTGTAGTGACATCATTTTCATATGGTATAGCATATCCATGTCTTCTTCACACCCCAACCGTAGTCCAGCAAAAGTACTTAGACCTACTGAATTTCTAAACCACAGATTTAAATTGAACGCAGTTCGATCTAGATCAATGTAACTGTATACTCTATCAACCAACTCGGAATAACCTATTTGATTTTTTACTAAAATGGCTTTTTTGCATCTCGGAGGATCATATGAAAATGATCCTCCAGTCTCCATTATTTTTCCTCCCCAATAAAACTGAATCATCAATGCGAGGACATATTTGTACTCAATTTTATAAATATTATTTATTTTAGATTCAAGGACTTAGGTGATTCTCAACATAAATTTAGATTAACTAAACTAAAATTTATCACATCCATAAAAAAAATAATCATGAATGAAATAATATGCAGTAGTATTAAATAGTAGAATAACTAAACAAGAATGAATTTGTAAACTAACGGTACATATGCTATAAATTTGTAATAATTTAATAATTCCTATTTTATATTAATTAAACACTTATTACTATTTTTTCACTATTACTACTATTAATATTTGTAAGTAATTGCTACTACTTATGACTTTTTTTTAATATTGCACTTATTACTATTCTTTTTTAGTATTACTAGTATTACTATTACTAAGTAATTGCTAGTATTGACTATGACCAGTATTAATATTACCGTTATTAACTATCTACTATTACTATTAAATATTTTATAATTACTATTTATGTGAGAACCCTGAAAATAGATATATAAGCCAGTGCATATTTCTTTTGCATTTCTTTTATTCCTTAATAATTTCTAGCATTACTTTTACTTGTTCGCAATTAAATACGTAAAAATAGGTTTATGTGAAAAATAATATAATTTTCCTAAGTTATGAAGTTTCTTGGTTTTGTTAGACTAAATTAATATCTTTAGGGTTAGATTAAATTTCTCGCCTTAACATAAAATGTTAGAATACTTAAATTCCTTTATACTAAATTAATGATACTTGAGTCGATAGCCTTACTATCTTAAAATAAATTATTTAAATTCCAATGATTAATTCCAATTAGTTGCTAATGTTAAATGCTAATAAGAATTTCCGCGTTAAGATGAAAACCAATGAAATTTAGATAAACATGGTACTAATATACTAAACATACTTAAGGCGTGAAAATTTCGAGAAATATATCCTTATCTTTCTTTGTATTCATAACAAGTGCGTAAAAATAATTTTTATGTGCAAAATTGGCACCCTTGGATTAAATTATTATTTCACTTGACTTTATATTACTAAATCGATAAATTTCGAGTTAGACTAACTCTATTTCTTGAGAAATAATAATTGGAAATTCTAATAACTAATTTAATCGCTAAATAATGTAGGAATTACTAGGAACCTTAATATTAAAGTTTAATCGATAAATATTCGATAAAAATGGTTTAAGTATACTAGTGTATAATTAGGCGTTCAAATCACACTTGGGGATAATTTTTGGAATTAAGTTGGATTGAGAAATTAAGTTGAGGTTAGGGAGCAAAGTGAAAAGACTAAAATGCCCTTACATTTCCATGCAAACCAAACAAACCCTCTGACAGCAATTTCCATCACCGTAACTATCGACCAATTACATTATCACCAATTCTATACGCAACCGATTCTTACACGCAATCTCTGCTCCAAAAACAGCGGCACCTTAGACCATTCTTTCCAATTCATATCACAAACCGCAAACCATTTCCTTTCTTTCTTAATACCGAGATACCGCCTCTTCACCATTTCATTTCCTCTGCAAAACTTCACCCCAGCCACTACACTTCCTCTCCACAACCACCTCTCATCTCTTCCTCTGCCTTGGACCGAGAGTAAAGGAGAGAGAGTTACCTTGTGAGCTGCATCCGTGAGCAAGGGAGGAGGGAACGCAAGCTGCCATTTCTTTCTTTCTGTTCGGACCGTAAGCTGAGGGAAGATACCAGGAACCATCGCACCTTTTCCTCTACTAGTTGTGGCCATTTCCAACTCCAATCAACCGAACTCAACCTCACCACAACACCACTCCAGCCGCAACTCAGGAACCAGGACCAACCGACCTGCACTTGAAGCCGAGAGCAAGGAAAGAAAATTCTGGAATTTTCGTGTGTGAGATTAGCTGGTATCTGAGGTAATTTCTGGACTAATTAGGTTGATTACCAGTAGAGGAAGCTATATCTGAGCTTGCATGTATGGATTGCTCAGTCGGTGGATGAAATCAAGTCATTAGAAAAATTTCTGTTTTGGTTAAAAGTTTCTGCCGAGGAGCTGATTTGGAAAGGTAGTTTTATTTCTGACTTCCTGCGATAATCTGAGCTCAATTAAGTGTTTAACCAACTAATAACAAGAAGGTTGAGCCATCTAAGAACATGCATGTGGATGATAGGCAGCCGGATGAGAGTTTTAAGAAAAGAATTCCTGTTAAGTGCAAGTTTTGGAGCTGCCGAGAGCTTAGCTTGATTTTTGCAGCCTGATTTGGTTTAATGTTGTTGTTTGAGCTTATAACCATAATTAGATAGTTAATAACAAGTTAATTAGGCTCTGCATGTAGCTAATTAGTTAGTTTAAACCAGAAAAAATATATATATAAAATCAAAATCAAAATGAAATCTGCCCCATGCATGTTCATCCGAGCCAAGCTGGAATAATTTTAGAAAATTTTGATGTTAACGGCTGTTGTTTGAACTTGATTTCTGAACTGGAAATGTTTATTTTCTAGCTAAGTAATTGCATGAGGAAGTTGAGAGCTTAATAGCATGTTTTAACCCAGAAAATAAAATGAAAACAGAGAGTTCCTCCATGCATGTTTAACCGTGGCTAGTTGGACAGATTTCTGGAGTTTCCTGGATGATTTTAGTTGCTGTGTGAATCCGGTTTTGAAGTGGAAATCTTTAATGGCTAGCTAAGTGTTTAAATGCTGAATTTGAGTACCTAACACCATGTTTAAACCAAGGGAAAATTTGATCTAAAGTATATTAGTTGCTGGAATTTCTTTTGTTATAGCCAAAGGTTGAGTTGGAATCTCAACTTGGTTTTTTTTTAAAATTTTTCCTTGAAACATGATGGATGGAAATGCCTGGAATATGTTGTTTTGGAGTTCTATAAGAAATGTATGGATGGTTTGAATAAAAACATTTTGATGTTAAAAGAGAAAAATGAGGTTTTCACAAGTGAAAAATGAAATTTCAGATTTTCGGATGTCCCTGACTAGTCTCAGTAAAATGTTTAAATCTTGGTGTAGGAAAATCCGTTTAAGGTGCCGTCAGTGGCATTTGAAACTAGAATCATAGGCCTTTGTTCTGTAGAAATTTCATATTTTTCCTACGTGTGTACTGCTGTCTGTGAATCCTCAAAGTAGACTGCTCTGTATTAATGTCCTGTTTCTTCATGAAACTGAATTTTTACTTGGATTGAACTTTTAGCTTATTTGTGGTTTGAATCTCTGATTGAATTGTGGTTGGAAGTGTTTGATGTTGTCAACGGCTAATGATTGATGAAGCCCTTGGCCATTTAAATGATGTTATAAATATTAAAGAGTGATGGATTTTAATTGCTGGGATTTCTTGTAGGCCTTACCTTCATTTTTTATTTATTCAAGATGTGATATGAACTTGCCAAAAATCAAGTGCTAATGATTGATGAAGCCTTGGCCATTTATTTTATTCTTGATTTGATATGAATCTATTGAAACCTAGGGCTAATGATTGACGAAACCCTAGTGAGATTTCTATTGAAAATGTTAGTTTGTTATATTGACGGATCTGAAATATTACGTGCCTACAAATCGAAATCGTAGGAAATCCGTTTTGGTCCTGTGAACTTGAGAAAAGTTCTAAAACGATCTATTTACATATATCTTCACTCTTGTAGAGTACGGTAAAAATCTAGCACTGTATGTTAAAGTTAGAAACGTCGTGTAGGGATTTTCTAAACCTTGCCAACTCGATATTTCTTCCTTTAAGTTTAAACTAGCCTTATTACCTTTAGAAAATGATTTCCCTAGTTTCTAAAACTCTAGGCTTTGTTTTACTCCTTTTCTTTTCTCTAAGAATTGTTCTTGGCTAGTTAACTATAGGAAAAGTTTCAAAATACGAGTTTTAATAATTTTAGTTAAAAGCATAGAAACTTGCTCGGCAAGAAACCTTATTTTTAGGTCAAATAATTTTTAGTGATAATTTTTGCAAGAACCATAGCTTTAAAGAAATTTTCAAATATATCTTTCTAGCTTTGATCTTAAGAGGTTGTCGACTTATTTCAAGAAAATAATACTAATTACCTTTTATAAGGAAAAGTATCTCAAGGAAAACTATAAGAAACATTTTTACTACTTTTGTCAAGTTTCAACCTAAGTGGATTCTTAATTTTTCTAAGGGAAGTAAACTAGTAATATATCAGATATACCTCGATGTGTATAAGCTTAAAAACTGAATAGAAACTTATAGTTTCAAAATTTTGTATTCTAGGATATTGCGAGGACGCGGAATTCGATTCCCAATTTGACATCTGAACTTCACTCTTGGTGAGTGTCCCTGCTTGTTCTATGCTTACCTAGTTAAAGTGCTTTCTTGACTCGATATGTGATAATTTGCAAAACTGGTTTTTGATCCATCGAAGTGAGCTGTGTGTACTTTATCGCACTAGCCGTTCGAGTGGTGACTTGTGCAAAACATTTTTCTCATGAATCCTTGAATCTAAATGTAGTTGCGTCGTTGGGTGAATCCCTCGACTTCTGAATCCAACTACCATGAATCTAAATGTAGTTACGTCGTTGGGTGAATCACTCGACGCATGAATCTAACTACAATAATGTCGTTGGGTGAATCCCTCGACCAATCATCTACGGGTATATCTCGAGTATACTGCGTCCTTAGTCGGTGAGCGGGCCCGGGACAGGGGTATGAATGGTGACGGGTTAGGTATCAAAATGAGACGCTCTACATGGATTATAAGTAGTGAGAGTTGACGGAGGGTCAACTACGATAAATGGTGATCAAGCGAGGAAAATGGCTCCTGAGAGCCCCTGTATCCTACCTTGTGCTGTTATACGTTTTCCTAACTGTTTAAATTTTGCTAAGTTATTAACCGCTGTTTGATATTATGTGATTGCATGTTTTGGGGCACCACTGAGCTTTAGCTCACCCCACGTTTATTGTTTTCCTTAACAGGTTCCGGGAATTGAAAACTTGGATACTTATTTATGTTTTCCTTTTGAAATGTATTCGAATACTATGACTTATTTTGTGGGCTGTAATGCGTTAATTGGGATAATGTACTTTCCTTTTGGATTGCCACTTGAAACTGAAAAATGTGTAAACCCTAATTTGATTGCTTGGCTTGTAAGTTTGTATTAGGGATTTATGTATTTATCTATCCGGATTGGTACGACTTTATACCTTGGTACGTAGCACGTGGGACGTTTAAGAGCCTCAATTGGTTATTTATATTACTGCTATCTCTGAAGTTAATGTGGTTTTAGTGATGATATTATTCGGAAAAATTTGTTTTGTAATAGATTAGGTTATTATTCGAAAGAATTTGGGTTAGAATGCTTGCGTGAGTCCTGGCGAGAGTTGGGCAGACGGCCCGCCAACCCTTTGGTTCGCCTTAGGGGGAAGTGGGGTCGCCACAATTTACTTTACTATTTATCATTTGTCCTTTTCAACTATTTATTAATTATTATTACTATTATTATTTACTCGTACTATCATTTAACATACGGGAGTTTTTTTTTCTATTACTATTACTTTTTTACTTTCATTATTTACTATTTACTATTCACCTTTTTTTACCATTTACTTTTATTATTATACTATTACTATTTAGTATTTTTTTGACCTACTTGAACTATTTACTTTTAATAGAAATTTTGACCATTCTAAACATGAACGTGTTAAATATAATTATTAATGACTACTTGTACTAAATAGTAACATTATAATGTAAAAACTTGTAAATCCTAAACATGAACACTAATTATTAATATAGTATTACTAATTTAGCTAATTTAGATACTAATCAAATGTACTAAACTCGCAGTAGATAATCAACTAACTAACAAATTCCCACAAATTACATATAACAAATTGATTAATTGTAATTCAATATAACAAACTGATTAAATGTACTAGTTACCTCTTAGCAAACTGATGTGATGGCTGTCCACCAACTTCAACACTGAGCGAAGGTTTTTTTTTTGACCGGTACAGGAAATCAATGCACACAACCATCTACGGCTTCCATTTTCCCGTTATAGCAAACCATAAACCAACAATCGGTTGCACAAGGGGAAAGCACAAATGTAGGACCACAGTGCCAACAATTCTTCAACAGAAAATCTAAAGGCACAATTGCGGCGACACAATGGGAATGGACAAATGCAGGACCACAATTGTAGGAGCTTTTAGATAGAAAACCCCAGCAATAGAACAAAGAAATTGGGAAGACTCACAAAGGAAGAAGTTGGAGAGACCAGAGTATAAGGATGCAAACGGGGATCTGGTCAGTGATGTATTTGTAGCCAAACATTTTGCATCGTTGTTATTGACTATATACATCCGTCGATCAATATTTAATCAATGGCTAAAAATATTGCTACAAAACTGTCAGTGGTTGCGGCATCCGGATTTTAATAAAAAAAATTAACTTAGCACCGTTGATCCATTTTTTATCAACGGTAAGAAGAATTACATCGCATCCAAGGGTGCCGCATTGTGGCATTTGAATTTCTTTTTTCTAATAAAAGGTTTGCACCGTCGATCCACTTGTGATCAACTGTGCTCAAGTATAGCCGCATCCATTGTCGAATGCGGCGTTTAAAAATTTTTTTTAAAAGGCTTTGCACCTAGTATAGCCGCAAAACTTTGCACATTAATGGTGCTCAAGAGTAGCCGCTCAAGTATAGCCGCGTGTTTTTTTTAAAAATTTCTACTATGCTTTGGATTGTTAGTTAAAAAAAATTTGAAAACAAATTAAATTTATCCCTAAGCCACAAATTTCATTTGCGACGACCCCTAAAACATCCCCAATTTCCCTGCAACACCAATTTTGGCATGATCTCTCATTTTCGTAATATTTATAGAAATTCGCCCGTTTGTTATAGAAGGCCATCTGAAGAAGCTCAAAGATGAAACAAAAACTATTTCATCATCACAGAATTCCAGCAAAAGCAATGTGAAGAAGTCAGAATACTTCAAGCTCATAAATCACTTAGAACCTAGAAACTCCGTCTACCTAGATGTTCCTAGCAGACAAAGATCTTGTGTTGGAAAGGCGACCTAATGCCATGGCATGAGGTCATACATTCCTCTTAAATATACAAGTGCCTAAACCTTTTCAAAAAGTTATTTTCCAACATTTTTGCTGAGGAGTTGCTGCAGATCAAGCGCATTGATCTTGGCAGCAAGTATGAAATCATTTTCAGGCAAAAGTCTACAATCACGCAAGGTTCTTCAATATCATCTAATCAAGATCATTATTCAGGAGTGTGGTGCATCTTATATATAAACCAGATAAAAGTAAACTGAATAGCTTGAAATAACTCCTCAAGATTGACACTAGAGATGATAAAACAAAATTTAGTGACAAGCAAACCTTACCCATAGCATGTGTGCATATCCCACAAGATGTAGATCTAGATGATGACCTGCAGCAGAAAGATGGTTGATACCGTGGGTTACTGCTCTTTAGAGAAGCAATATGCTGTTGTACACAATGAATAATGGATCAATATGTACGTGACTTCTAGGAATGCTGAATATTAAACTAAGATTGTTAGCCAGGACAACCAGGCCTTCAATAATGAATTATATGTTCTCAAGCCGAATAGCATCTGCATTCTTAATCATAAATACCATAGTATTTCCTTATTCTAAGCTATTGGCTAGTCTATTCTCTAGCCAGTAAGTATAGGCCAGGTCAAAAAAAAAACAATAACAGCAAAAACAGAAACCTTGTACAGTAGAAAATAAATTAGCACCATCTTTAATGTGTCAATATTTTCAGTAAGATTAGCAGGATCTCAGAGGCAGAAATTGAATATGAACCAGTGACGAATAGGGAAAATTTTGAATTAATCGATGGCCAACTGTCATGGATCAAACCATCTCTGGAACTCATTGCACTAAAACACAACTTGTTTTCCACACAAATCATGTCCACCAAATAAGCTCTCAAGGAAGATGAAACCTGCAGCTTACCTATATGTCTATTGTAAAGCTAATGAAAATTTGACTGCTTCATTGCCTTGAATATTCCGTACAGATAAAAACAGCTGAAAGATTATTTAAAAGTCTTGGGCCTAGAACTCTATCCCATAGAATTAAATGCAAAGACACTGGTAGATATCTAATGAGGAGTAATCCTTTAACGTCCCCACTTTAATTGGAAGCGATCCCGTTTTGAGCAAATCTCATTTTTGAGAACTTCCAATGTACTTAACAAAGTCCAACGTATTATATCTTAAGGTTAAGATGACCATATTGTAGAGGAGAATAGCAGCAGTCAAGTAAGTTTACCAAAGATTGGTCCAAGATGCTTATATTTAGTTAGCCAACATTAGATAAATTTTGAGTCTTGGATGCGGAGATAAAAAGCCTACTTTACTAGCTAAACATTAGTAAAATTTAGAGTGTGAAAAGAAAATAAGGAATATACCTGTTTTGTAAATGAGTTTTTTGGATGTTTATCTAAAACTTTACTGTAACTTATTGTACAAATTGTAGAAAAAAATTTTGAAATATGTAAATTTTTTGAATATTTTGAAGCGTGTAATTTAAAAATTTTGAGAAATTTTTTGAAATTACTGTAACTAAAGTTGTTAAAAAATTTGTAGGAGACAAATTTGGCCAAAAACAGGCTTGTTTAGAAGTTTTAGCTAAGAGACAAATTTGGTCAAAAACAGGCTTGTTTGCCAAACAGGCTTGTTTAGAAGTTTTAGCCAGGAAGGAAGGGCACGCTAGTACTTTTACAGCTAGGTGAAAGGTTATTCAATTCGCTAATGCCATCTCAAAGATCATAAAATTCTTTAATATTAAAGCTGCAAATATCCCTCTCATGTTCTAAAATCCATAGAGTAACGACTATGCTGTTGATTCTCCTGCATCTAAAAAAGAAAAGAAGAAGAAGAAGAAAAAAAAAGGTCCTTTTGCTTCACATTTAGGGCCATCTTATGTCCAGACATAAATATTTGAAAATAAAAAGGAGAAAAAAAATGAACAGCCATAAACCTAGGTGAAGTATGGGAAAAAGAAGAGTGATAGTAAAGAAAAAGTGACAGTCAAATGGTACTTCGAGTCTTTTACCTTATTCTTTTTAAAAATTTCCAATTTTTGAACATAAATTCCCCCGCCCCAAACATGTTTAATAGAATTTAAGGACCTAAAGGCTTATTATATAAATCAGAAGACCATTGTTTCATGAAATCAAAATGTTGATGTGGCTATTTGAAATTCTTAGTAATTGAGTCGACAAAACTCAAACCACTCAAGCAGGTTTACAATGGTAATGGTTTACTAGCATCCAGGTTTTTCGCCCTCCTATAATTTTCTTTTCTTATTGTTTACAGGAAGAGTGATTACTATTAGCGTTAGGAAAATGTCTTAATGCCCAAAAGTAATGTCCTTCAATTTGAGATTTTAGTTTATACAACGTGAGTCATTCTATCATGGACACGGACTCAAATGAATATCAAAAAATTGTTCGGGCCATTTTGTGTAAAATGCATAAGATATAACTTTATATGCACTTTCAATAACGGGCAACTATAAAACAAAATTTTGTGGATCTCACGCATAGTATGCAAAATGATGTATAAAATGCAATCTAAACCTTACTTTTTTTTAGCCAAATTTTGGCCAAGCACCTTCAGGAATGGTTGCTTCCTAAAAGTGGCACCCTATGCAACTGTTCCTGCACCTCATCTTCTATCATGGAAAAGCTACGCTGCACCCTATGCAATTTGGACTGAGAGAGTGTTCCAGATATAGTTGGCACCTATTTTTGTTATTTCCACTTCCAGAGTGCGGGAGAGCACTGCAGAACTTTGTGTCTCCAAATCATATCATCCACTTTAGCCTTGGAGGAGCAAAAAACGTACCGTCCATGAGGTCTAAAGAAGTTTTTAGGCAATCACTTCATTAGAGGTAACTCTTTTTTGTTAGATTATTAATCCAACATTGGATTTATATGTGAATAATTATGTATTATAAACTGTCAAATAAAGTTAAATCCAATTAAAGTAATCAATTATGATTTAAACTTTAATGTAACTAATAAGATGTGGACCTTTAATATGTAAAAACTTAAGGGTAATTTCCATTTCTATGATGAATTGAAATAGGAATCTAAAAGATAACAGAAAAATTATCTATAAATAGGATTATAGTCCCCAAATCACATACGTATTCTTATTGTCGTATTTTCTAGCACCACAA